GGCCAATGGCCGGCCGCTCGGCCAGCTTCGGCTTTCAGCACGGCTCAGCGCTCGACTGAGCTGCTCGGCCGTGATCGGGAGCTGTACGGGCTATTGTGAATAACCCGTACAGCACCCCCTCGGTTCTCCTGAACCGAAGGGGTCCTGGGGCCGAAGCCAGCCGAAGGATCGGCCGAAGCTACGGCCAGATCCTTCGGCAGCTTTGTGAATAGACCCCATTGTCTTCTAGTGTTATCAGAAGCATTGCTGTTTCAAGGTTTACAGTGTGTAAAAGTCTTTGTAAAGGGTCAGACCACCATAAAGTGATATTATAGCCATAGGTGGAGAGTGGTTGGCTGAGCCTTCTATGACCACAATTCTTGAATAGGAAAGGTCAATGATCATAAACATTGTGCGTTGGCCTCCATTTATATTTCAACATTCAGAACTTAGAAAACAATTGCTAATTGGTCATTTTGGGTTGCAGCTCTCGTCATGCTCGCTTTTTTTACTTAAAGAGTTGGTCCACCCAAAAGTGACTAATATAGGTGGAGTCCAGTGGGCTGAGTCAGACCCTCACTTCTCATATGTCCTGGATTCTCCAATAGTGAGACCTCCCTATCATAATTCCTGACTCTGTTCCTGTCAAACTGGCAGTTTTGGATGACCTGCCAACCTTTATGTTTTCCTGGCTCCTTCTCTTACATTCTCTATAATATAACATTAATAAAAAATCTAGTAATGATAGAGGGAGCACATGGGGTGTGCAGATCCAAGAACTCAGCACAGGAATGGTGGGAGTCTCTCATAATGGCCCCATGAGGTGTGCAGATCCAAGAACTCAGCACAGGAATGGTGGGAGTCTCTCATAATGGCCCCATGAGGTGTGCATGTAGGTAAGTGCAGTACGGCCAATGGCCACTAGATGCCCCCATAGGACCCTGGAGGTAGATGTAGCTCTGGCCTGGGGAGACTCTGTGTCCCAGGAGAGCCAATATATGGGGGGCGCTAGAGAGAGGAGAGGGGAGTGTGTGGAAGGAGAGTGAGGAAGGGAGAACGATAGACTTATTCGGATTTTAGCTGCTGGTCCATGGGAAGGACAGGACCAGGCCTAGGACTATGTAGAGTATATTGAGATTCCCCAGTTTCCCCTGGAGGGGAAACCACCGAGATGTGTCTGCCTAGAAGGGGATCCCAGTGGATAGTAAAGTGCTATGTGCTGAAGATGTTTGTCTGATGGCCTCTGGCTGACGGAAACCATGGACTCTGGGCTTGAGCTCTCTCTGGCGATGACTGCAAGAATTAATAAGAGATGGGCCGTCACCCCACTCGGGGGTGGCTGAAATGTATACTTTGTTCTGTTAATACCTTCAAGTAAAACCATGAAAATACTATCTGTGTGGACTGGTTCTTCTCCCTCCAAACACTGAGAAGGTGGGGTTCTACAAGAGTGTGATGTTGGACAGTATCGTGGCCGTAACCATCCTGAGGAGGGTATGTGTGCAAAGGGGCTATGCCCGACATAGGGTGCCTTTCAAGGTGGCCTTTCTTCCTAAGGGGGAGGGAGCGCCGAAGACCGCAGAGGCGGTGGAAGCCATGAAGGCCCTGTGTGCGCAGTATTACACATGTGGGAGTTGTTTGCACAAGGCCCCGAGGCCCCTGAGCATGGGGTGCTTGGTGTCGTGTTGCATACATGGGGTTACACAGAGCCAACCCAAAGGGAACTCACACGCAGATCCAAGAACTCAGCAAAGGGATGGTGGGGGACCCTCATAATGGGCACATGAGGTGTGCAGATCCTAGAACTCAGAACAGGAATGGTGGGAGTCTCTCATAATGGCCCCATGAGGTGTGCAGATCCAAGAACTCAGCACAGGAATGGTGGGAGTCTCTCATAATGGCCCCATGAGGTGTGCAGATCCAAGAACTCAACACAGGGATGGTGGGGGGCCCTCATAATGGGCACATGAGGTGTGCAGATTCAAGAACTCAGCACAGGAATGGTGGGAGTCTCTCATAATGGGTACAGCAGGTCCAAATGTCTAAATCGGTCCTAGTATGGGTGCAGTACACTGTGTGACTATTACTCTTAACCGCCTTACCCTGTGCAGAGATTTTCCAGTTCTCTGGACAACAATCTAAGCGTTATTAGCCTGAGAGTGATCTTTATTGGGGCAGATAAACTGAACAGTTAACCCTTTACACTCACACATG